TCTATATATATATATATATATATATATATATATGGAGCATACAACAAAATATCTACACATCGAGCCTGCTTCCGTACCGGCCAATGACAGACATAACCATCACAGAAGGTATGGAGAGTCAGATACAAGTGTGCACACCCACACATCAAATCGGATTTGGCGCTATCAGCGCCCCATGAAACATTGAAGTAATACCACTCAGAGTTTCGCAAGAAAAATCGACAACCATGATTTTTTCTTAAAATAAAGCTTAAATGGGAAGACAAAACCGTCTTGATAAATCCCACCCATTTGGGGGATCCAGAAGGATATATGCAACTTAACTGGGGGCAAAACCTGAACACAAGAATGTGAGTGCACAGAAAGAAATAAAAAAAAAAACATCAGATAACCCGACTGCTATACAGGAGAGTACAATGGACGAATGCATCATAAGAGAGAGAGAGAGAGCACACAGAGGTTTCTACATAAGTGTGGAACAGTAGCGCTGTAAGAACGGATTCTCCTGCCATGTTATCATACGAGTCTCATCTTAAATCAACACCAAAAATGGGCCGAGAATCCTCCCCTACCAGATTCGCTACTTGACCCGAAGTATGAGAGGATCGCATTAGCCATAGTTCAACATTAACCCACATCACAACAGCGTTCGGGAACAATGCTACCATGGCAGAACGACTTGGCAACATGAAGGTGGGCCAGCGAAAAAAACTTGCCGAGCACTAACACCTTCGTTATGCCCAAAATCACATACAACGTTATAATGAACAAAGGTAAAAGAAGAAAACGAACAATTATAAAACATATAAAATAAACTGCTCTAACAACCTGCCAATTAAAGGAAGAAAAAAGGAAAAACGCAGTGCACAATATATAACATCGATAAATGAATATTAAATCAAGAAAAAAGAAATAAACTACTATGGCGAGTTATTTAGGAAATCTGGAACAATAATATGACGGGGTATATAACGACCGCTAAGCGACAAATGGAACTGGAAAACAAAATTACTGTCGTCCACAGGACAAATGAACGTGACCGTGCCACAGAAACCTGAAAATAATGAACGCAAAATTCGACAGATGAGAAAAAGACGTTTAAACCATGCTTACAAGTATACGAGTTATTTATATACAGTTGTACGTATACGTCCATAGCAGCTAACTTTCTTCCCACTGATTCCATTAGACGGATCCATCGATCAAAACAGATCTATCTCCAAAAACTCGAGCTGATACTCCAGCGTGGAATCGCACGAGGCACGGGCAACCAGTAACTCACGTCCGAACTGGCAAAACACTGCAGAAAGACTATAAAGGAAGACTTTAAAGAGAAAACAGCAGCAGTTATGACCGACACTGCACAGCACGGGATGAGTATTCGCAAACGCATCCAAACATAGTCAATTACAAGAGCAGTACAGCTTCAAGAACGTCAAAGGATAAAACCATTGACTACTACTAGTCGCAGCTCTTCAAAAGCCACATCTTCCTCCCTCATAAAATAAAGGAAAGGAAGACGAATATTTTACCATGCCGGTTCAACATTCCGAAACACGATATGCTATTTCCACGGTGAAGAATCGAACAACACCTGGTTTCATACAATCCGAGATCTGAACACCTGAAGAACTTTCCACTAAAACTCATCAAAACACTGATTCGGCTCCTCACACGTTACATGTCAAAATGTAATGTCCCTATTCATCATCATTCATATTCGACCGTATTGTTATTCAATATGGGTGACCCCTTCGATATCGGCAACTATCGTCCAATCTGCTCGCTATGTCTTTCATTAACTCTTAACTCGAGTCAGTCTTAAACAGGACTGACAGAAACAGTGGATCAACGACAGCAATGTGAGCAAGTAAGGTTTCAAAAAGGATTCATTATGATGGACCGCGTTCACAAGATAACAGTTTTCACTGAAGTGTCGCTAAAGTACAGGAGAGAGTATCGCTCTGTCTCATTTTCAACGATTCAAAGAAAGCTCCTGTCTCAGTTAACATACTGGGATTCATGGGAGCACTGGTCAGCCACGACCTCCCTACTCAGTATTTCAAGACTCTTCGTGAGCTATATCATAAATTCACAACAAAAATACCACCATTCTATAACGATACTAACATCGAAGTAAAAAGCGGAGTTTGGCAACTCGTAACCATCCCCTAAAAAATGGGAATGGGACAGCATGGGAGTGAAAATCGGTTGTCAGCAATCACATTACCTTCGCTTTGCTGATGACATTGTTTTTGCAAAACCAAGCATTGGCAAGGCAGAACGAATGCTTTACGACGTGGACAACACCTACAGAAAGATTGGTCTTCGATAAACCTCACAAAAACGATGTTCATGAGGAACGGATTTGTTTCGTATGCCTCATTTATGCTCAACAGAACAAATATCTCTGAACGCTCCAGTGCTGAGCAGAAGGAAACGAGCGGCTTGGGGAGCTTTCAAGAGCACCGAGGATGTAGTAAAAAGAGCAACGAACATTAGATCCCCCCTTTTGAACTCCATAATTCTTACCTGCCTTAACATGTGCGTTATAAGTTTGGCCGCAGGGTTAGAAGGATGAAGGGCCACTCAGCGTTATTGAACGCAGATTTGAAAAGACGAAGCTAGGAGTGTCTCGTGACACACAAGTGTTGCAAGATATCCAATGCTCCGACCTTAGCCAACGATCGAAAATCAACGACGTTGTTCTATATGCCGCATTGCCGACGATGAAGTGCGCCAGAGACCTAATACATATGAACGACAAACATTAGGCAAAAGCCCTTAGCGAATGGATTCCTCGGGATGTCAAACGTACAGTAGGAATACCTTCCTAATGGTCAGCGTTCTTCATGAAAACCCTACAAGAAAGATGTGACGCTGAACGAATCCCTAGAGCGACAACCTACCAGGCTACTCATGCATATGACAAGGAGATATATACGGTTTGCTGGCGCCCACTCGGGCCACCTGACGATCAACGCGGGACGGCGGATGATAAATCAAAAACGCATCTTTTTGTTGATCAAAAGCACATAAATGAAAAGATTTGTATATCAGCAAAATGTACGGCAGTGATTTTTGACAGTAGAAAATAACGGTAGACACCGCTCATAGGATGAGGCGAAACTTTCAATAACCCTTCATGAGAGAAGTAGTCCTACTAAACAGACGTTGTAAGAACAGCACATATGCTTAATTTTCAATAAATATGGGAAAAATAAACACATTAGCCCTACCTTAAGACGCAGAAACAGCAGCGATGAGACGGAGCGGATGTACACGCATTCCTGACGATGGACGAAGACCTGATTTCTGCAATTCTGCAGGAAGAACAGTAACCTCTCCGACATCATTCAACGACGGAGCACTTGAGCAAGTCGAACTCGTTTCCATATCAACCTGAGCTCCAACGTTACTACCCATTGAGGTATTGTCAGACTGTGTATTGTAGGCCTAAAAATAAACTTTACAAATTGTTGTTTACAATGTTGAAGTGAAGTAACTCACATCATATAACCATTCTGTAGGTGGTAAGGGAATGGCACGCGCTGTCGGTGAATCACTGAATTTCGAACCAGCATAACAAGGACTTCCACTGAGTCTCGAGGTGAACGAAATCGGTCGGCGATTGGGTCGTCGACAGCCCTATAACAAGTGGTGATGCTACGACGAATTTTACAATGACTGAAATTATATTTGAACTTTAGACAGCACCCCTTTTCTGCTCCGTGGAGTTGGTGGAGCTGATGTAGAACCAGACGATCCAAAAAGATTTACGTGTTGTTGCTGAGTCTGTCGTTGTGATCGAGGCACACTTCCAGATGAGGTGTTCATTGTCGAGTTCTAACAACTTTGACCGAGATGAAATATTTCGAGATATTCTTGAGATTGTATGGGAATATGACGTCCACGTGACGGTATTACCTAAAAATGCAGCCCAAAATGCATGCACACTTTTTCTTTCCTACATGATGAGATTAGAGCCACATGACATAACATAAATATAAACCCTAAGAGTCACGTGCGAAATGAATTTTCACAGTTGGATCTACATTGGGAATTTTTCTACTTGACCAAGATAGCTTTAAATCTGACGGTTGTTTGGTGTTATTTTAGGTCGGTGAAGATCTCTGTCTATTTCCTGTTTTTCAAAAGGACATCAAACTCGACAAAAAGAGTTAAAAGGCTATTTTAGAAGCCACATCGTGTCAACTTCTCGAACAGATTTACCGTTATCGAAGGCATTCGGATGGATATGCTGAACTCGGTCGCAACATCGACCACGATGCAAAGGAATTAACCAATACTTTACCTTTGCGATTTTATAGCCAACAACACCTTCTTGTCACGTTGAAATGGTGAACAACTCAGCAAGAACATTTAACACGATATTCTCTTATTTTAACTTGAACAAATAAGGTTCACAATAACATGATACTATCTAGCAGCGACCAACACCTACTACTCGTACAAGAGTTTCCATTGTATAGCAGTAACCATTCTAATGCTAATTATAACTTCACCATGACAGCTCTGAGTTTGTGCAAGAAGTACCTAATCAGTATCCTTCGTTCAGCGAGAACAGTACGGTATATTGAGCTACACTCTGATATCATTAAAGGTCCTCCCTATAAAAAGTAATAATCAATTAACTGTTCTTAAGTCACCAAGCGTAAAGTGGGAAATTACCTGGTACGCCGGAGAACTTAAATAATGTATATAACACTCCTCACAAATGGAACCTTCACTATCTGACTTGATACCGCAGTTGACGTAATTCAAACGACGCCTTGGTGTTCTTGTACTAAAACAGACATATCCAAGTAACGGTTGCTTTGGCTATTATTGAGTAACTGCTCAGAACACGTCCAAAGACGAACATTGCTTGCATCGGGCTTATCAAAGGGTATTCGTTCTATGTATGAACCTATTTCTAAGGACATTTGACGAGCATACAGAAAATGACCGTCTTATAGTTAGAACGACAATAAATGTTAAGAAAATGAGAGAGCTCTCGGCGTTGGCATATGATCCCTGAGGGATGCGCCATGCGTTAGACTCCATCAAGCATTGTTAGAGGTGATTGAATGCTTATCTGGCATACACAACTAGCGATGGGCTACCGATCTATCCAGTCAGTACTTTTACCCTCCTAGACAAGTTTGGTAACAATTTACCTACCTGGAGTGATGGTAGGTTTGGTGAGCCTACAAGCGGGATTGATCCCACATACATTGCAGAGCGCCTTTAACGACGGCGTTACAAGGGCCGTCAGAAAGACAATACTATACGTAAAACATTCTAGTTCCAAAAATTGCCCTGTTGACAAACAAATTAAGAGGACTCCAACAATTCTTTACTGTAAATAAATTGGTTCACTATTAGCAAAAATACATCAACTGCAACTGAAACGTCAAATTATGTTCCGTTACCCAATTAAAAGGTAAAAACCAAAAAAGGTAAAGAAAACCTTTTCAAAATTCACTTGCAAAGACAGCTGTGCCATTAACTGGAGCTTAAAAATTTTTTCACTACTAAACCTTTTAGTAAAATGAACAGAAATGAATCACGATGTGAAAAGTATAGATATCAACTTCTAGGTACATTGAATAAAACTCATTCAAGTGAAAGAAGTCAGATACTAAACGCCCTTGCGAGCTATACTAATTAACTCAGAAGAATTATACTTCAAGGACGAAACCTAAACGATTTAGCTAAATTAATGAAACCTAGATATAAGTAACACACAGACGTGAGTTTACTAGGAGCTTCTTGAACCAGCTTTTTACCGTTTTCTTCAGGAAAAAAAGAACGTTTGTATCATCGTCGATAAACTCTCAGAATAAAAAGCATCATTTAAGGATTATCAAAACCTCAATTCATTTACTTTACCATATAAATGTAGCGTATATATTTCATGCATGTCGATTACCTAAGAGTGGAAACCACCTAGGGATTCGCCCAAAACTATCCAAATAATCAAACCAACAAACTATAAGCAAAGTATGAAACAGAATTGAATAATTAACATGGAGGGTAAGATTTCAGCAAAGAGCTTAAAGATAGTGTCACCGAAGACCAGTCCTTAAGGCGAGGCTTACAGTTAAGGCACGATGACTTAGTCCTAATGTCCATCCTATCCAGATCAGCTACTAATCGCACGACGGAAATTTCAAAACACAATTAGGACAGTGATATTAAGTGATAGGACCCTAAACAGATCAAATGATCAACAAATGAGTAGTAGTGATAAGTAACAGCAAGTGGTAGTGATAAGTAGGTAACAGTAGGAAATGGATGACTGTCCTCGTGCTTGTCACTATTTCATACCTTTATTTTTTAATAAAAAAAATTGCGATGAGCATAAGGAAGGTCCTTTACTTCCTACTGTTGCCAATACTGTGGTCGATGAGTCAAATGTGACTCAATGCATAGCAATTCACTAGCTGTAGAGCCCAGCCTGCTCCGTTATGTCAGTCGGAGGACTTTCCACCCAGTAATCTTGTGAATGACGACTTCAACTATACAATACACCACTTAATTAAAAGACATATGGCAAATTTGGCACCAGGGACTAGTGGCACGAAATATTGATGGCAATGGATTGCAAACAAGATTTTGCAAGCTAGATCGACGATGCCTGAGCATGTCTGAGCAACACATACGATTTCTTTTGCTGATAATAAACAGCTTAACCATTTAAATACCGATGTACGCTCTAACTGATGAATTAGAGACCCGGCCTTCGGTTCGGTGCTCACGAGACGAGTATCGAGTAAGGTGCAGTCACGAGTAGCGTGGTTTTCGTCAACCGCCACGCGCCGCAACCGCGCCGCTTCACTAATCGATATCGCAGTGGAGGGGACGCCTATGGTCGTATTATCGTAGCAAGGAGTTGTAGTCTCCCTGGTGGAGAGTTCATTGTCTTCAACTCCGTTCTCGTAGTCTTTACTGCTCGGAAACCAGGTGTGAGTGGTAAAGACAGTTCCAACCTATGGAACTTATTTGACAGAAGGAAAAAAGTGCTGCTGGTAGCACCTGAACAGGACGTCTTGCAGGGCATTGGCATGTTCGTCCTGAACAGAAGTACTACTCGCAGACACGAACTACGTAGGCCTAGAAATGTAGCAGATCACAAATACGATTACTACGAAAGCAGATGTATAGCACAACTAAAAGCAGCATGACAATCGGCCATGGCATAGATGCAGAGGGGATCCCCCGCCCACATCGCTCCGGTTCCCATTGTTTGCGATCTCACGCCACTCGTTTGGCTCTGGGCCAACTTCTTTAGAGTAGTTATTGGTAGCATCAGAGGTAGTATTGGTGCGAACATGTTAGCTAGAAAACTTCGAGAATCGTCATTCATGAAGTGGATGGTGATGTTTCGACATCACATGGTGGCATTTCCATGGCGTCCAAAGATCGTTGTACACTATAAACGAAGGGTCTTAGGTTAACAAAGTTAGCAGAAGAATATCTGTAATCAATATTGGTTTGTGTCAATGCGAAGATATCGGGATATCGAAATGACAGAGCTGGGAGCAAGATTGAGATGAAAAGAAGCTGAAGACAGCAAGCAGTTCATACTACCACCTGTATCACCTGGTCACCTTTCGTCTCGATGATCGTCGACGGGCTCGAGCGGATGTTAGTAAATTTTCCATTGGGCCCTATCTTGTGCAAAAGTAGCCCAGTGAGCTTTACTCTCAAAGCCGCGTTAGATTTGAGAGTCTTGTTAACTGACCAGTTCTTGCGCAAAATAGTCGCAGTATCTGGATCAGGATCGGACTGTAGACATCCTATTCGCGACATTACTATTCCTCAAACTTCAATTAGTTCCGGAGTTTTGCAATTATCTCAGGCTCATTGTGGCTGCATCACATACAATGCCCCGCCGTGAAAAATAGTATTAGGCAGTAAATAAAAAGTTAACATTGTGATTTCGACTACAGCCTCAGCTTAACTGAGGTTCATCGCCGATCGCCGATTTGGGGCTCCCCAGATTAATCCTGTTGACGGGTGATTGCTGATGGTAGTGATCGGTAGAACTAGCTGAGAGACAGGCGAAACGAAGGACCCGCATGGTGTGGTGGTGAACGCGTTAGCCCCCGGAAAGGGTAATAGCGCGTTCGTTCCCCACCGCACACACCTGCGGCGCGGAGTTTTGTAAATATCTCAACACCATTGTGGTTTAATTGGCTTAATTACCCAGGTAGCCCACTGAGTTTTTCAGGCTTTAGAGTCTCGCGGAGCATCATCATATCATTCATCCAGGGCTTTTTTTTCGTGAAGAACTTTGATCATCGAGTCGGTGCTCTTCCTGCTTTGTGTTTGCCATTTCGAGCAATCCAGTAGTTAACGTGATTTGTTGATTCACTGTCGTTCAGGCAGATCACGTGACCAGGCTACTCCGATTTTCGACGTCTTAGCGTGGACAACAACGTCCCTGATCTCTGATCGTCCACGTAGGCCGGAACTTCGGATTCCCTCTCTCACTTGCGCGCTACGAGATACTCCCAGCGTAGGCCTCCCAACTACGTGTTCGACAGCGCTGAGCGATCTTTCACCCTGGGCAGGAAAAACCATGGAGTCGAAAATGTTGGCATGGAGTCAGGTGTTCTTTGTTCTCCTCAGTGCATCCTAAACTCTTGAAAGCTTCCCAAACCCGTCGTTTCTTCTGGATCAATTCCGGAGTTAAGCCTTCCACGATGTTGATTTCATGATCCCGGTAGACGTTACTGGAGCATTCGAAGGTATTCACTCTCTTGAGCATGAGTGAAGCATCAAAAACAAGTCTGTTCCATATGAGGCAGTTTGCTAAGGAATGAAAG